TCTCTCTCTCTCTCTCTCTCTCTCTCTCTCTCTCTCTCTCTCTCTCTCTCTCTCTCTCTCTCTCTCTCTCTCTCTTTGATTTCCGTGCCCGCCATCGTTTATCCGTCGACAATACGCGAGGAAAGTCCTTGTTCGTCGGGGTATCACGGTGACACTTTCAAATATCTCTCTCTGTGTCTCAGGACTCTCAACTATGGTATGCGGGTTCAGTCACACGTATGATGAAAACCACTATAAGGAATATCAAAGGTGCTGCCGCGAGATATCCCTGGAAGCCCGACGGTTATGAAGAATAAGGATATATGTCAAAGCTGGCATTTGACAAACTGATATTACTAAGGAGGAAGGAGTGCGGGCCGCACATGATCCATTGCACCAGGACACACTGCCTTGCTATACAAATGGTCAATCAAAGTCAGCCCTACATCATTGATGGAAGAAGTTACGTGGCCCTTAAACTCTTCCTTCATTCTTTTTGGAGACTTGTCCACAGACCCCTGGCCGCTAAGCGTGCAGCGCTTTTGTGGCGGCTCATTGTCCATTGGACCATTACTCCATGCCCACCGCTTAGATGGATGGCATACCATTATGTTAAGTAAAGGGTAACCTTTTTGTGAAATCTGTTCTCAATCTGTAATCTTTTACCCCTGCTTTAAATCCAGCACTTGTTTTAGTTTCTGTCTGTGGTGACATAATTTCCTTCCTCCTTATAGGCTTTTGGCAATTTATCTAAAAATATATTATTAGATAATTCTATATCGAATGAAAATGAAATTTCGTGCTAGTGTTCCTACTCTTTCTTACCTGGCCTCGTCGTTATCCTTTTTAGCAGAATCAAAAGAGGTTATGTTGTTGATGATATGCATGGATGTATGGATGCATGGATGGATGGACGGATGGATGGATGGATGGATGGATGGATGGGTTGGTGTTGATCTGCTCCTGGTTGCTGTTCGCGAGTCGTCTTGTAATGAACTAATCCGCATCGCTGTTCACGAGTCATCGTTTGGCAGATGTGTCCACACGTCCTTACCGTTTTCTTGGTCTACCGACTCTACCCCATCCTAATTACAGTTTCTTTTTCTACCCCAATGTAACCCATGCTAATTGCTCCATTTTTTGGGGGAGACTTGTCCACACACTCCTGATTAGCATGGGTCTATTAATCATAACCCATGCTCATTAGTAATTACCCTTCTCTGTATGGTTCCAATCTTAAACGGATGTCCTGATGGACGAGGTTTCCATTTCTTCTTAGTGTGTGCTTAGCCCACGCTATTCTTTAGGGAAAGGCGAAAGAATAGCGTTATGGTTGGTGGCACTATTCAAGGGCGAAATGGCCCGAAAACTTCGGCGAAAAGCCTTTTTCAATCCGTGTATGGAGTTATGATATAGAGGAGGAGAAGCCCAGATCATAAGTTACTCCATAAGACATTGTTGATTGAAAAAGGTTTTTCGCCGGGCCATTTCAGCTGCT